ACCTTTGTCTTCCCATAATGATCAGAAATTTAACAGTGATGCTCTTGGGTATAGATATTTTTCTTTTTCATTGTAATCTATACCCATGGGCTTTCAATTTGGGGTTTCATGTCTTGGAAAATTTCCTTTAGATCTGGAAAGCTTTTTTTTTTTTTATTTTTTTTTTTTTTGCCATGGTAGTATTGGTTTACAACATTGTCTATGATTCAGAAACATAGGATCTGTATGTTACAATACACCCACCACCAAGGCACCCACAGAGCTCCAACATAGTCCATTGTGTTCTTTTATTCCTTTTCTGTTCACCTTCTCCCTCCCCTTCTGGTAACCTTAGTTTTACCATCAGATTTCTAGGGTTTGTTTTGGCTTGGTGTTTTCTGACTCTATTTTGTTTCTTTATATTCCACATATGAGCAAAACTATCTGGTATTTGTCTTTTTCCTTCTGACATATTTTGCTTTAGCATAATCCCTTTGAGTTCCATCCATGTTGTTGCAAATGGCAAGATTTCATTCTTTTAGAGCTGAGTAGTATTCCATTGTATGTGTTTATATCTACTACATTTTCTTAATCCATTCAGCTGTCCTTGGGCATATAGATTGCTTCCATAACCTGACTATTGTATGAAAAATTTTTCTTGTGATATTTCTTTGATCGTCCTTTCCCACCTCCCCTTTCACCCCATTCCCCCATTTTTTATGACCTCTTTCTCTCTTTTTCTGTAATACTTTTTATTGGAATATTGAATCTCTGATTCTATAATTTTACCATTTTCACATATCTGGGATACTGCCTCTTTTCAAGTTTTCCTCCCACATTTACATTATAAATTTATTTGTTTTAATGTGTAAATGTTTTCTGTTGGTTTCTTTGTTACAGTATTTTGTTCTTGTTTCAATTGCAAATATGAATTATAATTGATTTGAAGTACTGTCTCTCTTTCCTCAAGGTTCTTTTTTCTTTTTGTTGTTTATTTGCTCTTATGTTAGAGATTTTACTTAGCTGTATGATGAATGTTTATTGTATGTATCTATATTATAAAGAGATACACTAAAATATTGGTGGGAAATTTATGTTCGTGCATTGATTAATGGGTTTCATGGTACTATGATAACATAACAATCTGGACTTTTTCTCTGGGATTCCCAAATGCAATTGTGTAGCATTTCTCTTAGGCCATGTCATTTTTCCAAAGAATTCAGTATTATACCTGAGATATATAAGTCTGCTTGGAGACATCTTGAAACAAGAACAGGAAAAGAAGGTGAGTCTCGGGCCTCCCCATTGGCGCAGCGGTTGAGCGCTGGGTTGCGAAGCTGCCCGCGGCCTCTGCGGCGCCAGTTGGATCCCCGGCTGCTCCCCAGCCACCCGTGGAGGGTCCCACATGGCGCGCAGATCTCTCCTGGCGCCCGCTGCTCCCCTCAGCAGTGTACTTCGGTCCTTCTGCCTGCTCTGCTCCCCGCTCTAGCTCTGGTGAATTCTCTCACCCTCCCTCCCTTCTGACTGTACCCAGTACATGTGTAAACAAAACAAACAAACAAACAAATAAATAAAAAACATGCCTCTATTAAAAAAAAAATTTAAAAAAAAAAAAAGAGAGTTCTTTAAAAAAAAAAAAAAAGAAGATGAGTCTCAGTCTCTACCCTATCACCACTGTGCCAGATCTTGGTACACTTGTTCTCTCCAGCGAATAAACATCCAGTCTGCTGCCAGGAAGAACAAGATGAGAGGAAGCAGTAATAAGATAGTTGCTTGGCTGCTTAGGCAGGAGATACAGCCTACTGGGAGGTGGAAGGGAGGCTAATCATTCTAAATGTAACACTCAACCAATCTTTTTTTTCTTTTAAACCTTTCCCTTTCTGTCATATTTGTGCCTCCAGCTACTGAACCTTTTCAGAATCCAAGAGTTCAGTCAGATTCACTTACTGTTAGTGTCCATTGCTTTAAAATCCCATGTGTTAGTTCTCTCTCTCTCTCTCTGCTAAAGCACTTACAGCCGTTTCAATCACTTTCCATTTTCTAAAAAGTTTTTGAAATCTCCATTACTGTTGACTGTTGTCCACTCTTCTTCTATTCTCTTGGTCCTTATTGATTTATACCTTTTCAATGATATTTTGGCGTTAATTTGCCATATTTAACCAGAAGAATCATTTTTGGTAATTTAAGAAATAATTTTTGACACTTCTTTTTCTCACATAGAAGAACTGGGATGCAGGCCAGAGGTACAGGTGTGAGAGAATTCACCAGAGACAGAGTGGGGAGCAAAACAGGCAGATTTACTGAAATACATTGCTAGAGGGAGCAGCAGGCAAGATAGGGGAGGTTTGCTGTGCCATATGAGGGTTAGGTCTCTGGCTGGGGATCTAACTCAGGCTGTAGAGTTGATAGTACTGAGACTTAACCCCTATATATATATTTGAAAGCATGATTCTTGTAAATATTTAAACTACATATTTAGGCTACATGTTTTTTCTCCCAATCATTTTTTTATTATTAAGTTTAGTTATTTTCTTACATAATTGCTAACTTTTGGACAATATTTGTTTTCTCCCCTCAGGTGTAGTCCCCATGGTTCTCCCCCCACCACAGCAGCTGTGATTCATCTCCACAGTCCCTTGTGCTCTTCCCTCCCCCATTTAGGCCACATTTTAAATTGCTACATTTCATAAGAAGAAATGGGCCTCCCTGGTGACACAGTGGGTTGAGCGCAGCTCTGTGAATGAAGCTGTCCGCTGCAGCTGTCCACTGCAGCACGGGTTCAATTCCCGGCCGGCCAGGGAGAAACCCACATGGCGCTGGCAGACCTCTCCTGTCTCGCCTGCTGCTCCCCTCAGCAGTGTTTTCCATCGTTCTGCCTGTTCTGCTCTCTACTCTGTCTCTGGTGAATCCTCTCACCCTCCCACTCCTCTGGCCTATACCCCAGTTCTTGTGTAAATAAACAAACCTTTAAAACAAATTTTTTTTAAAGTTTAAAAAAAAAGAAATGATATTGTCATCAATGGTCAAATACATACATGTTGGAATCAGTTTCCAGGAATGGATAGTGGACTTGATTTGAATCTTCCATCGCTCCTTACCTAGTAAGGAGGGTAAACATCAGCATTCATAAGGCTGCTGGCTAAATTTTGGGGTTTTTAATAGTATGGAGTGATATTTCTTCATAAAGCCATCACATCTCATGAAAATTGACCCCATAAATTTGGCTTCTTCATTAGCACTCTACCTCAACCAGCTTTTTCTGGTTGCTCCCAGAAAACAAAATACTACACTGTGGCTTTTTCTTTTTAGAATGGCCTAAACATTTGAACCTAACATATAAACCTGATATAGTATCCTTGATTAAATCACATCAAAAATCTTTCTTTTTTCCTATGCATAATCCAGAATTTCTTTTTTATATTTTCTTCTAGAATTGGAGAATCTAATCCTTATAACTGAGCTCATTTCCTAATTTAATTTGTGTCAGGTTTGAGTTAACTGACTGCAAACCTAGCATAAATACAACCTAGCACATTGAATATACTCAGAGAGTATTCCCATTTGCTAAAAAAGAAAATAGAACAGCTTTCTAATTATACTTCCCAAAATCTGGATATTGGTGACAAGATATTGCAGTATGCCTTAAGGAATCTGCTTATCATATCTAAGCCCTTGCCCTAGAAGCATGAGCTGAATGTTGGCCTGGTCTGAAACTGAACTCTTATGACTATCTGGCAGCTTCTGTGACATATTAGTGACCTTGGCCCAGCTTCCAGTTGGCATACATCAGCATCAAATTGGCTTGTATCTGCAGCCACAAGACAGCCTACCTTTCTAAATAAAAGAGATAATAATATCTTGCTTTTCTTTAGCTATTTTGCAATTGATCTTTGCAGGTTTTTTTTTTTTTAACTAAAAAGAAGCTAAAATTTGAAGATTTCCATGTTACTTTAATCCTGACTGTTTTAAATCTATTGCTCTACTAACTCACACAGTTAAAAAACTGCTGGTCCTAGCTGACATCTTGAAAAAATTATGTGGCATTATATCTCTCTGGCTTCAGGCTATAGGACTTCTTAATCTGCAAGCTGTCTGCAAGTTTTAAAAGAAAGCTTCATCTGCAATCATTTTAAACAGCCAATGGAGACAAGATTGCTTTAGTTAGTAGTTTACCAGCTTAAACTGAGTACACTCTAGTTGGATAAAAATTTAATCAAGGAAAAACTCAAAATAAGTTTTTAATTATATTTTATATCTTACTTGGCAACTTGTTTGAAAATGCTGCATAAAACATTCAGAACAGGAAACATTTTATATTGCTGCTTATGATTAATAAATATGGAATCTGAGGCATTCTATTTTATAAATCAAGGTCTTAGTCCAAATTTCCTGTTTTTGTACATTTAAAAAAAAATCGGAGTGTAAAAATAGCACAAAAGTTTTTCAGGTACTAGGGGGTCAAGGCAACAGGCAAAAGCTCGGGATGCTAAGACTTTTGTCAGGTCGGCATCAAAAACATTTTGTCGTCACTGTAGATAAGGAATTTGGTGCCGCTGACTTTATAAAAATATGAGTAAATATATACCACTTCAGATTTTCTATGCTTTTTGCTAAATAGAAAGGAATATATAATACAAAATAATAAACTAGTGACTTGGAAAACACCAGTCACCCTGTCAAAGACTTTCTTCCCACATCTTAATTTTAATCACATCTATTACTGTCTGTGTTTTACAAACCTGGCCACTGTCTTCAATGTTTAATACCGTACCCCAAACACACATGTATACTCACCCACATATTTTGACTTCTGTTTAGAGATTCCACTCTTAAGTCATCTACACTTTCTGACCTTCTCAAATTTTCTCAGCCCAGCTCCTCCCATAGGTCTTCCAGAATCTTTCTTTGTCTATAGAAGATTACCAATTCTGAAGAATATGTGAATGACAGAAGACGCTTTGGCATTAGTTAATATCTTGTCATGCTAAAGAGAACATTTTCACATTTATATCTCTTTATAGCCTAAAGAATGTTTCTTGATACAACCAAGGGAAACACAAGAGGATGCCACTAAGACCAGGAAGAGGAGAAAGGTAATATTTTTTTAAGATTTATTTTTTTATGCATACAAGAGCTGAGGTACAGGCCAGAGGTGTGGGGGATGAGAGGATTCACCAGAGACAGAGTGGGGAACAGAACAGGCAGACTGACCGAAGTACACTGCTGAAGGGAGTTAGGAGAGTTCTGCTGCGCCATGTGGGTTGCTCCCTGGCTGGCTGGAAATCGAACTCGTGCTGCAGTGGCTTCGGGTAGCTTCATAGGTTGCGTCTTAACCCTTGTGCCACCAGGGAGGCCCGGAGAAAGATAATATTAATAATGCTTCATACTTTATGTAGTCTGCTCTGAAGGGGTACTCATTGTAATCCCCATTTAGAGATACAGTACTTTTAAGATTCGGTGAGGTTTGGTGACTTCCCTGGGATCACTAGTAATAAGTGTTTCTGTTGGGGCTAAAAATAAATTCTTCTGACTCCTATTTAAGTCGTGTGGAGCACCAAACTTCTTTTTTACCCACTCTGTATTTTCACTCTGGTGAGAAGCCAGACTTGAGTTTCTAATTCTAGACAGGGCCCACAGCTATCCTGCCTCTGACTCTTCTCATTCTGTCCAAGAAAAGAAATTTATCAACTTTCTTTTCTTCCCCAAATCCATTTTTAAAACTTCATATCTTAGAGTATTAATAAAAAGAAAATAATAAGTAGATGAAGGTAGTATAAGAATGACTCTAATTTGAAACTAAACAAAAAGATCACCTTACATTTTGATACTTGTCTATGAGCATAGGAAGACTCTGTTGCTCCTCTGCAGACTTTCTGAAGGCTCAGCCTTGGAGGAAGTGTGGTTAGCTTTGACCTTCCACCACAGTTGTGAAAACAGCAGTGTAATTCTCTCCCTGCCAAGACGAGTCTACTGCTACAGTCAGCAGAGGAAATATGATTGGGATTAGAGGAAAGAAGATGGACTCAAACCAATTACTTAACAGCAAGCTTTTAGAAAACTGAGAGTGTGTGTGCCTGTGTTTTCTTTGCTTGCAAATGGCCAAATAGGAAGGTGGGAGATGCCAAATTGGCTGAGGTTTGGCAAGTCCTTAAAGAAGTGACTTTAACTTCTCTTTGATAGTTCGTACACTAATGGCCTTCAGGAGTGTTAAGTTCTTGTGACTGAAGGTCAGAGTCTAGCTAGATAGTTAGCCTTGGCTGAGGTCATGCTAAAATGTGCCCACCGATGACATAATTTTAAAAGTTAATTCATTTGACAGAACTTTGACCATTCTTGGCAGTGGTATAGAAATGAGGATATTGTGCAAGGAGGAAAAGTTAAGATGTGGGGGGCAGGTAGGGAATGGCTCTTTCTGGGTCTTTAGTGAAACAGAATGAAATGAGAAGGAAAGTTTATGATCATGGTTAAATGAATGATTATGTGCTCATGGTATATTGCAGGTGTTCAGTAAATGCTACACACATGAGTCCAAATCAGTAGAGATATTGTGAGTTATCTCTGGTTTTTCTGGTTCTTCCTTCCATAGGGCGATGTCAAGACTGTCTTTCCAAAGATGAGAATTAAGGGTCAAAAGTTCCCCTTCTCAGTGGCTCCTGTGCTAAGATTACTCCTATAGCTTTTGCCTTAATTCCAGAAATCCAAACTGAAACTCAGTACATTAAAAACCAGATTAGATAAGAAATTATCCTAACTCCCAGGAATACAAATTGTCTAAGCTTAGAGAGAGTTTTCCATAGCAACAAAATTTCTTGAGTTTTAATGGAAAATAACACCCTGTTCTGGAGACTCCTGCAAGTTTCAGTAAATTTTTGGACTTCTCGTAAAATCATAGGCAAACAGTTATAAGGAACGTTTAAATCACCCATTCATCTTTTAAAAACAGTACAGGCATACCTTGGAGATACTGCAGTTTCATCTAAACCTTTGCAGTAAAGTGATGTCATCATAAAGCAAGTCACACCAGTTTTTCTGTTTCCTAGTGCATGTAAAAGTTATGTTTATACTAAATTATGGTCTGTTGAGTGTTAAATAGCATTATGCATTAAAAAACATGGTACAAACCTTATTTTTTAAATACTTTACTGCTAAAAAAAAGCACGCTAAACCATCATCTGAGTCTTCAAGTGAGTCATAATCTTTTTGTGGAGTCTTATAAGAAACACAATTATCTGCAAAGCATGTAAAGTGCAATCAAACTAGGCATGCCTGCAATTACCTAAGGAGTATTTGTTGTGTTTTCTCAAGTTTATTTATTAAAAGTCACATTCACACTTGCTACCACCAAAACCTATATACAGTGCCAGAAGGTTGATTCTTCAATACCAGAAGAATCACCCTATCCTAAACCAAATGCCACTCTAAAGTGTCTTCTCATTTTTTCTTCTCTTGTATTAGAAGAAAATTACTGACATTCTTGCAAAATCAGAGCCACAGCCAGGGACACCTGAAGACCTGCAGAAGCTGATGAAGGACTATTACAGCAGCAGTCGCTCTGTGATTGAATTAGAAGAACTAAACCTACCAGGTACAGAAAGACTTCTGTATTTTTCCTTTTGTTTTTTCCCCCTGAGTATTCTGAGGTTAGTTATTGAGCAGATTCCATTACTAATTGCTGTCAGTTTTCCTAACAATGAGGAGTAAAACAGCTTAATCTTTCCTCTCCTATGTATAGTGACTATATATTCTTAGCTGGTAGTAAATGTATGTTCCATGTACTGGTATTCCTTTCTTCAACCTAAATGTTTTAACTGTTAGAAGATTTATTAAGATGATAAATGATATGTATTTGACCTAATTGAAATTTTTGTGATTGTATTTTTTATTCAAAAGATAGTTATTAGCTGTGTATTTTTGATAGCAGATTTTTCAAGGAGTACATATGAGAAAATAAATTTTAGAAAAGATAAAGCACACATTTAAAGGTATAGGTATAAGACATTGACTTGCTCATCCTTTATAGACAAGTACTTTAACTGTAATGAAGCATCTTCATTTTGTTGTTATCCTTATCATGAATTTCTAGTCATGGTCTAGAAATTTCTAGAATTTCTAGTCATGATTTTTAGGGTGGCTTAGTTTTTCAAGAAAACTATCATAGAACAAGTATTTTTCATTTTTAACGAGGATGATACATTAACCCAGGTGATTCTTAAACCTATCAGTGTTTGATATCTACTGGCTTAGAATATTAATAATTAAGTTAAAAGATACTGCAAAATCCTTAAAACAAATAATTTTAATTAATTTCAAAATTATGATACATCTTGTAACTCCTTTATGCAGAGATAAAAGAAAAATAGTCATAAAATCAAACCAGAAAATGTCTGGGTACCACTGCCTCAGCTGAGCTATTTAGAGCTACTAGTGCTCTCTAATACTGTTTTTAGAAAATGTTATGGATAGCTTGATTTCCTCTTTCCATTACAATTTATGCTGTCTAGAGGCTTGAGAAGCTAACAGACAGTCCCTTCCCTGAACTTTTTACAATTCTTTTGTGATGTCCTTTAAAAAAAATGATGCACATTGATTTTGGAGACAGGAGTGCCCCCTCTATTTCTTTTCCAAAAATAATACCCTTTAGGGAATTGAAGGAGTGCATTTGCACATGAAGGACATCTGGAGTTTGACACTTCCTGAGCCCAGATGGCTCCAGCAGTTAGAAAACCTTCCTGAAGCAAGGCAACTCCTCTGGAGGAGAGTCACACCTTGGCCACTCTATCTCAGGAACCAAGTGTTACTTAAAAAAAAAAAAAAAACCTTCGATTAGAGAACAACAGAGACTCTGGAGACCTGCACACAGCCCTGCACCAGCCAGTAAGCTTGCGCGGAAAAGCGGCGCGCTTGAAAAGCAAATGCGGATCGCGGCTGCCCAGGTACCCACGCCTGCGACCAAGGCTTGCGGGGAGATGCGCGGGGGCCCTCACTGAGGTGAAAGTCCCTCACTGAGTAATCAGAAACCAGGCGCCCGGACACGGGAGCAGGGTGCAAAAGGCGCCATTCCTGCGGCCACTGAACTGGGCTACAGCCTGTGTCCTGGACCTGAGGGCTTTGGAACTGAGACCCGGGGCACGAAATTCGGGGCATGGGTCCTCCACATCGGTGGGGCACAAGACAGACACAGCACCCAAAAGCCGTTGAGGTTTTCCCTACCATTCCCACTCTGTTCCCTGTCCCACGGGGTGAAAAAAACAGCTCCCCAAGAACAATAGGAGAGATCTCTGGCGCCACCTAGCGACCAGAAAAAAAGTCACTAACACCCCATAGAACAGGGACCTTTCTTCAGAAAAGACTGCTTGAAATCAGCAGAAGGCTCCTGGAGGAGCCCATGGCCAGCTGGGAAGTTAGCCCACCCAAGGCCCCTTCAGACCAGCAGTCTGAGCCCACAGGGGGAGCGGGCACCCACGGCCGGGGCAGACCGGGCGCGCAGAAGAGTGTGCCTGAGACCGGATGCGCAGGGAGTGAGTCCCGCATGGCCATTTTAGAACAGGGACATTTCTTCAGTAAAGACTGCCTGCAGAAGGCTCCCTCAGGAGCCAGAGGTGAGCGGGGAAGCTCGCCCATGCCAGGCCCCTTCTGGCCTGCAGTCCAAACCCAGAAGGGGAGCAGGAACCCACCGCCGGGGAAGACCAAGCGCACAGGGGAGTGTGTCCCCACATCGGCATTTTAGGACAGGGACCTTTCTTCGGTAAAGACTGCTTGAAACTGACAGATGGCTCCTGGAGGAGCCAGAGGGGAGCGGAGAAGCTCACCCAAGATGCCGGCCAGTCCCAGCAACACAGTGTCCCAATGCATACGACAAATTAGAAAACAGACAGTAGGGAGTAGAAGAACCACACGCAACCTAACAACTCCTCAGGAAAAAAGCACACCACAAAAAGAAAACCACCCCCCAGATTGCAACGACAGTAACTTGGAAGAACTTCTGAGCCTTCCAGAAAGAGAATTTAAAATTGCCGTGATTAAAAAAATGACAGAACTCATAAAGGAAAACAATGATCAGAAAAAGGAAATTGAGTCCCTAAAGAGGGAAAACAATGGTCAGAAGAATGAAATTGAGTCCCTAAAGAGGGAAGCAAAAGAAACGCAGGAGATCAAAGAATTAATGGAGGAACTAAAGAACTCTGGGAAAAGCAATGAAAGCAGAATAGATGAAATGGAAGAACGAATAAGTACTCTTGAAGACACAGAAATAAAAAGAACCAAAACAGAAAAGGAAAGAGAAGTACGAAGGAAAAAGAACAAAGAAAGACTTTGGGAACTATCTGAATCCATGAGGAAAGGAAATATAAGAGTTATAGGAATACCAGAAGGAGAGGAGAGAGATGTAGGAACAGAGAAAATATTCAAAGAGATAATTAAAGAGAACTTCCCAAATGTGAAGAAGGAGCTGAAAATTGATATACAAGAAGCAAGAAGAATACCAAACATCCACGACAAAAGGAAAAATACAGCAAGACACATAATAGTAAAGCTCCCAAGAATCCAGGACAAGGAAAAAATAATGAAGCTGACAAGAGGGAAGAAACAGATAACATTCAAAGGAAAACCAATCAGGCTGACATCAGGCTTCTCTGAAGAAACACTACGGGCAAGGAGAGAGTGGAGGGACATAGTCAACAGACTCCAAGAAAACAGATGCCAACCAAGAATACTCTATCCTGCAAAGCTCTCCTTCCTCTATGAAGAAAGAATAAGGACCTTCCCAGACAAACAGTAACTCTGGAATTTCATTACGACTAAACCCCCACTCCAAAAAATACTACAAGGAATCCTAAAGCCAGAACCTCAGAGGGACGAATAACAATGAAATAAGGCCAAAAAAAAAAAAAGTTATTAAAAGAATAAATAAATAAAATCAAAGGAAAGACAAACACAATGGCAAATACAGATACTAACATATCAATATTAACTCTAAATGTAAATGGACTAAACTCTTCAATAAAAAGACACAGAGTTGCAGCCTGGATTAAGAAACAAATCCCAACCTTTTTGCTGTCACCAGGAAACACATTTAGCTACAAAAGATAAAAATAGACTCAAAGTTAAAGGATGGAAAACAATCCTACAAGCAAATGGACCAAAAAGAAAGCAGGAACAGCTATACTTATATCAGATAAAACAGATTTCAAGCTCAAAAAAATAAAGAGACCCCAATGGTCACTACATTATGATCAAGGGGACAATACTTAAAGAAGAAATAACACTCATTAACATATACTCACCAAACGAAGGAGCACCAAAATATATCAGACAACTGTTGTCCTCTCTGAAAACAGACATCAGAGAAAACACATACGTAGTGGGAGACTTCAACACACCACTATCAACAATGGATAGATCAACAAGACAAAAAATCAGTAAAGAAACTAAAGCTCTAAATAAGGACCTAGAGCATTTGGGCTTAACAGACATCTATAGAACACTAAACCCAAAAAAAACGGAGTACACATTTTTCTCAAGCACACACGGATCATTCTCCAGGATCGATCACATACTGGGGCACAAGACAAACATCAACAGATACACCAAGATTGAAATCATACCAACCATCTTTTCTGACCATGAAGGCATCAAACTAGAAATAAACCATAAAAAGAAGGCAAGGAACTTTCCTACCTCATGGAGATTAAAAACCACACTACTGGAAGACCACTGGACTAATGAGATCAAAGAAGAAATTAAAAAATTCTTTGAACTGAATGACAAGGAGGACACCAATATCCTAAATGTATGGGATGCAGCAAAAGCAGTAATAAGAGGAAAATATATAGCAATAGTAACTCACATCAAGAAACAATAAAGAACTCAAAGAAACAACCTAATCTCGAAGCTCCAAGATCTAGAAAAAGAACAACAAAAAAAACCCAAAGCCAGTAGAAGAAAAGAAATAATAAAAACCAAAGCGGAAATAAATGAAATTGAAACTAAAAAAGACAATCCAAAAGATCAAAGACACCAAGAGCTGGTTCTTCGAAAAAATCAATAAAATAGACAAACCCCTAGCCAGGCTCACCAGGAAAAAAAGAGAGAAAGCACAAATAAACAGGATCATAAATGAAAGAGGAGAAATCACAACAGACACAGCAGAAATCAAAAGAATAATCAGTAACTACTATGAACAGTTATGGAAACAAGTTCAACAATCTAGAGGAGATGGACAAATTCCTACAACTCTACAATCACCCAAAGCTAGATAAAGAAGAAATAGAACACCTAAACAGACCAATTACAAGCAGCGAAATTGAAATGGTAATCAAAAACCTCCCCAAAAACAAAAGCCCAGGACCTGATGGATTTACAGATGAATTCTATCAAACGTTCAGAGACAAATTAGTGCCTATCCTTCACAAACTCTTCCAAAAAATTGAGAAGGAAGGGACAATACCAAACACGTTCTATGAAGCCAACATTACACTAATACCAAAACCGAACAAGGACAACACAAAAAGGGAAAACTACAGGCTAATCTCCCTAATGAACACTGATGCAAAAATCCTCAATAAAATTTTAGCTATCAGAATCCAA